CCCCAAAACCCCAAAACCCCAAAACCCCAAAACCCCAAAACCCCAAAAATATATTCTATTATTGAAAATATTTGTTTTAAATGAGAAGGTCAAGAGTGGACAAGAAGAAATACCTCACGATTTCTCGTCCCAATCATCCTACGCTTCACATGCAGAAGCGACCAGAGCTGCTCGGCTCTGCTTGCTCTAAGCCAGCTAAAGTTAGGATTTAAGTTTATTAGTGACGAGAGAAAGTTGAGGGAGGAGTTCTGATCATCAAATCCTTCCGCCCAAAATACTGGTCTGCAAGTAACCCCTAGAGAGAGGAGTGTACCAGCAAAAGTTATGGTATGTTCTCCTAATTCACTGGAGGAGGTATCCTCCCCCAGCTCAGAATCTGGGAAAATAACCAATTCTCATGTGGTTCCTCCCAATACTCCTGCTGAACTCGCTCAGGAGATGTGTGAAGGAAGCTGATTATCTGAGGAAGTTAATGAAGAACAGCTCTTCCCTACACCTGTAGATAGGTCGCCAGTCCCAGAGACCCCTGAGATAGCAAGCTCTGAAGAAGAAGAGCGCCTGATAGAGGATAATACGGAAATCTCTGTGAATACAGTAGGATCCACTGCAATAAAAAGTGCAAGAGATCCTGATGGGCTTTTGTATATCTCCTCATCGCATTCACGGCCATCACTTAACAATTCTTTTGATGAAAATGAAGTTGTGCAGTAATTTCCCAAACTCGGTCTGAGAGCTTATGAGGACAATGATGAAGTAGCTTTAAGATCTAGAAGGCTATTCACTCTTCTGAGAGTTACTTTAAAGATTCGAGGCCAAAGCCTTGGGCTAAAAACTTTCCCTAACAAAGTAACAAAATACCTTAAAACCAGGAACTCTTAATTTTAGAGGAAACAAGAGCAGGTCTGAAGATAGGGTATGGACAGACTTCTGCATCTGACTTTTCAAGCTCTTCAGGAGTTAATGAAACCCCTTCAATTTGCTTGTTTTCCCAAGGGGTTTTGGGGTTTTGGGGTTTTGGGGTTTTGGGGTTTTGGGG